GCTTAACAAACCCATTGCTTTTTTTGGCGTTCTCGTTGCCGTCGCCTCTGTCGTTGCTAAGGCTCCCTAATAGGGATTTCCGACTGCAACGACAATGGGGACGTCAAAACCGCAATAGGGTTCATGAGCAAAACAAGCATAACTACGACGTGAAATGACCAGATTTTAAGTTAACTTGGGAACGGGAACGGCAAGGCGCTAAATTCTACCATCTCTGTCAGAACTCGGGCGCGGTTCCTTCTCTTCAGCTCCAACCCAAATTCCCTTTTTTTAAGATAAAAACGTCTTCATTTCCTGTTGTCTAGAATAAACAAACTCAAATGCAATTTCATCCACTGACAATATTTTTCACTTGTTTGCCCCCGGAGAGACCACGTGACATTGCTTTTATCCCATCAGTCCTTAAGCGCGCGCAAACATGGCGGGAATCGTGAATAGGGTCTATTGAGCAGTAAGAGGCTATAAAAGTTTAAAGTAAGTTTATAGAGCGGCCGTCAAATCAGTGTTGTTGTCAGTGATGTTTTCGAATACTTTATTTTAAAAAAAATAGTACTTATCCTTGGGTCTATTTTTCAACGCCCCATCTGACGCGGCAACGTTAATTTTATGCGGCATTTTTTCCAAATTGCGGATATCCCGCAAGGCCGCGCTCTAGAGTAAACCCTGCAATGGTGGTCTCTTAAATTCCCATTCGGAAGAAATGTCCATTACACTGTTTCGACTTATATTATAGGGTGCGACATTTTTTCGCTCTACCAATTGCAAAATTATGTCTCCAGAATAAGATTCATCGCCTTCTGGAGAGGAAACAAATTCACAAGATGTCTTGGCAATAAGGCTTGTCATCGTTGAATTCTACGGTACACTTTTTCTGTCCTTCCTTCCGTCTTTGCAACAAAGCGAGCTGCGGTGAATAGAAAGTCACTTAACCTTAAAAAAACGAGAAAGAACATTACTGCAGAAATGTCCCAATGACTTTTGATACCACTCTTACAGAAAAAAAAGGGGTTTCTATATTCGACATACTATGGACTATCTGAGAACAGAGAAGCAAACCTATTTATCACTATTACCTGTTCAAGAACTTGCCAACGGCTGGTTCAACGCTGCCATTTTGCACTAGAGGTACTATCCTATAGAGAAAAAGGTTCAGAATAAATTTCTGGTTTGACTGGCCACATCTGCCACATTTATGAGTTCAACAGACCCATAACCCGATATATTAAAACTCATACTTGGCTGCGAGGCTTTGGGGAATAAAACAAAAGAAATCATCTTGAGGTTCAGTAATGAATAATACATTTTTTTGTTTTATTCCCCCAAGCCTCGGAGCCAGTATGAATTTTAATATATCGAAAATGGTCTATTACATAGTTAAGGAGTATATGAGAATTAGAGATTAACTTTTTATAACGGAATATATGAGCATTTTGCCAGGACAAATCGAGGTATCCTCAATGACAAGGTAAAAGTAAAGGCACCCACGAGCCAAAGGCCCAAACGACCGGAGCTTATCCCAGTTTCATTAGCATGAAGCACCTAATAAGAGTATTGCTGCTCCACCCCTCGGATGGGATGCTAGTCCGTCGCAGAGTTACCCCCCAGCAGTATGTTGCTGGTACCCATTTATACGCCTGGGCCCAGTTGTTCGAAAGCTGAGTAGTACTTAATCTGGGGTTAAATTTAACCCGGATTTCTTTTTCTTGTGTTCAAAAGCATTTTCTCGGATAATTTTCTCTGTTATTTTTAAAGCTTCCAATCATCAACTTGTAGACAAAAAGAATTAAAACTGAAATGTTTTTTAAGCTTTCAAATCTGAATTCAAATCTTGCACTAAGCCTGGGTTATCTTAATCCAGCTTTGAACAACTCAGCCCTGGGTGAAGAGAGACAAAGTGGAGTAAAGTGCCCTGTCTAAGAAAACAACACGAAGAACGAGGCTTGAACCCCAGACATCCAGATCCAGACTTCGAGGTGTTAGCCACTCGGCAACACACACCTCCACAAATGACAAGGTTGCCATATAATAAAATTTTATTATTAAGGTGGCCATATGGCAGGGTTTCACAACAATTCTCGAATGATGGAACACTGACCTAAACCACTGTGACACTTTTTAAGCCTGATATGAAATGTGATTTGACTGGCATGTACGAGAATAGCCATTCTTGTATGATGTAAATTCTAACAAACTTTTTTTGTTTATACAGCTGTAGCAAAATAGACCTTTTTACCGATACGGTGGCCATATTGAATTAATACAATTTAAGGAGTATTATAGGATGCCCCAGGTTGCATTAGCACATTTCATTTGTATTTTCGAGCACTTTTCGGGACATTTTTTCTTAAAGTTTTCTTAGAAGAAGATTGTAATGGGAAAAAAGATCCTTGTGCCATGTTTGGAAGTAATAATGGCCCCCTGGGCATCCTACAATACTCCTTAAATCAAATTAATTCAATATGGCCGCCATATCGGTAAAAAGGTCTATTTATTACCTTCTTTCTGCTCTTCTACACACTGATCTTGCTACATGTAACATTGCACTACTCTTGCCACCTGACTGAAAGGAAATAAATAATGTTGGGAGCGTTCATCACCATTTTGAGCCTGATATGGAAAGGTTTAAGTTTATATTTCATTCTGAACTGCTTACTGGCAGAATAAAATTTCTCAGTGGAGGAAGCTGGCTATGGTATGTGTCTATCCATTCTTCCAATATGTCTGCAGTCTCTGGGTTGAATTCAGTTTTTTCTGTGAAAGTAACAAAATATTATTAGTAGAGTTCTCACACATTTTTGGACCAGGAATTAAAGGATTTTTCAATGAATTTCAAGGAGACAGTTCTCACGATTTTAAAGGACTCCATGCTTTATAAGACAAGGCAATCATTATTTATTCCAAGACATTCAAGGACTTTCAAGGAACACATAAATCCAGAATACAGAGTACTAATATTGTTGAATTTGCAAAAATTCAGTTTGGTCTAAAAATAAGGGGGGGGGGGGGTCCCCCGGGCTCCTCCCCTGGATCCACCACTGTAACTTTTCAGAGGGTCAAAAGAAAAATTATGTGTGTCCTGATAGAAACTAGAGTCTCAAGATCATAAAAATGCATCCAAAAAGAACACTAACTTAGGGTCCTTTCACTTGAGGACTGTCGAGGAGTTGCCACATTTGCGCCAACATCTTGAAGAATGCACTGGATCTACAGGCAATAAATACCAAGTATGGTTGAATTCCCCTCATTGTTTATGATAAGCTCAGATTGCCAGTAAAACTATACATGAGTGCTTGTCATTTGGCAAAAAAATCTGGTTCAACATGACCAACCATTACAGGTTGTGTGGGGAAGATAATTTTAAAAGAGAGAATGAGTTTTTTTCCCAAAGCTGTTGCAGTGTCACAGCAAGTCTGGCACAGCTTATTTAACAAGAGTCAAAACAACTGGCATCAAATGTTCAATAATATTGGACAAACATCTTGTTAAATGACTGTATAGATGGGCAGGGATTGCTGGTACAGTGGTACACTGAAAACAATAGGGCCATGAAATCCTTGGCTATAACAATAAGCTTAGTGTTGTATTATTGAAGTTTCTTATAGTCACCGGCGATACTAGCAACAAATTGATGATGTTTGTTAACAGATGATCAAAGGATAATTTATGACTGGTGGAATAGTGGCACAAAGTCTACACAAAGTCTAATATTAAAGGACTTCATTTTTTGAAATAGCCCCAAAAACTTTGCTCGATTTTTAACTCAATTTAGCAAAACTTTCAAAATTTATTTTACCATGATAGAGCATGGTACAATGATACCTCTTCAAGCTTCAAAACGACCTCTTTATGACCTGCTTCTTCACAATACTCACGTGCAACTCTGCAATGTTAACAGTAACCAAAAGTAGTATTTTATGCGGTGAAAGAATCATCAACATAAATAAATGTAACATTTCTTATCTTACAGGAACAGTGCGTCTACCATAATTGGGCCACCTAGACAAAATTGACCAATCAGATAACAAGAAAACAATAACACATTCTGAGGCAGTTAGTTTTTGATTGTCAATCAAAATTACCATGAAAAGAAATTAACAACATGGATCAAAATCAACCAGTATTACAATCTACAGATGTGACTCAGAAACTGGTAGAAGCTTTAACAAAGTTAAAACTTAAAGGTTTTACTGAATCTAAAATTATTTTTACCTACCCAATAAAGCTAGACAGTTCATCAGTAGCTCCTAGTGCTTCAAATAACACATCAGTTTTTAGCCGCCGTTCTCCACCATATGTACTTGTATATCCTATTCAATAAAATAATAAATGTTTTATTGAAAAAGTCCTAAACACTTGATTCTAAGAAGTCTGAAACTCAAAAGATGATTAAGTAAGAGCAAACAATATACACTAGGATATCAGAAGAAACACTTGTGTATTACCTTTATCACCAGTCCTGGTGTAAATCTTTGGACCTACAGTGCTGTTAAAAGTAACAGCAAAGTAAATTCATTTGCATATCAAGAAGAAGCACTACAGTTGACTCCCAATAACTTGTACCCTCGCTAATTCGAACCAGATGCTAACTTGAACCAAAGTCGATTTCCCTCATACATTTATTGTAATTTTACCCTTGATACCTCGAACCCTCGATAACTCAAACCTTCCGTTAACTCAATTTAATTCTTGTTTCCCTTCAAATAATTTCTATATAATTTGACCCTCAAAAACTTGAACCATGTTTAAGTGTGTGGCAAGTCGGAAAAAAGGAAAAACGGTGTACTACTGTAGAGAAGTCCGAAGCACTGAAATTATTTCAAAACAACCGTGACAATTCTTTATTCAATTATTTTGCCCATTCAGGTATCGCTTAGGGCTGTGTATAAAGAAATGTACAAAAAATGCTGTACGGTCTGATCCCCATTAGGGGTCAATGCAAGCTTTAGCCACACCCATGGTCTCTCTGCGTTTAGTTTTAATTTTCCGACGAGCATCCCCGTCAGTTTTTTCCCCCGAGGGAGTTGAGTGGGTTGAACTAACTTCTACTAAATGATTCATAGACTGCATGACTATAGGACTAAAAGACCATAGTTTGTTGTAATTTTAACAGGCAAGATAATTCATAAAGTGCATGACTGCAGGACTAAGGACAGCAAGTTGTAATGTTGGAGTAAAGACCTTCCTGACTAAAGAGCGTCTGCAGCCAAAAAGCCAACTACAAAATGAAAGAAGCGACTTAGACTTAAATACTTGTCGATAATTTACAGTAAAAAGTCACAGCAAAAGTAACTTTATTTGAAGATATCGTACCTTGAAGACATCCATCTTACCAGAGAACCTTGAAATAATATTGGTATCTTCCTTGTTTTGCCGGGAAAGGACAAAAACTGAGAAGTAATTCGGCGGGCAACATTGGCCGCCATTTTGAAGTTCCTACTTTTGACGTCGTGTATGAGACCATGAGATGTCCAAGCTATCTATGCGAGAGAAGACTGGGTCCACGTATCGAACGAATTATTTTGACGAATCACGATCGCCCATTTTTGACAAATTTTGCGGTTTTAATTACTTGCAGTTTGGTAGTGTAGGAGAAGCATTGTGAAGTACAATCGAAGCTCTCCTTGCGACCACTCTCGTAAAAAAATAGCGACCAGCTCTAGTTACGACCACCTTTGTGAAAGCTGTAGGTCTCTGTAACCGTGAAACTCATTTTTACTAGATCGCCCAAGCTTTACTTCTATATGAGATATGTTGAGTTCTTTACTAAAATAGAACCTACAATCCTGGACAAAAGTCCTTGGGAAAGTAAAGCCATTATTCGTGATTTTCTGTAATGTCTGGATGCCCTGATAAAACAGTGCAAGCTTTTTGAAAATAGCAGCGTTGGGTTTCTTCCCAAGACTTTTGTCCATAACTGTAGCATACCATGGCCAGAGAGATAAACTTCTCCCTGGAATTATTGCTGCTACTGAATGAATACTTTAAAATGAGCAAGGTTTTATTTTTTACATTGTTTTTTTAAGTTATCTCAAGAATTAATTTTGTTAAAACCACTCAATAATAAGTTATGAATAGCTTTTGCAATACTGTATTCTAGTTTGTTATAGTCATAGATAGAGCGAGCCTGTTGTTTTTGTGGTTGTTATTGATCTTATGGAAATGGCTCCATGTCCCTTGATAAAGCATTTTTAATTTCAAAGACAAAACTCCTGAACCTAATGGGATAAACAGGCGAAATGATTGAAGTATAATTATTCATTATTTATTATAAAGTTCGCTTCACTTACCTGCTCGCCTATTTTTTCTAGCTCTTTCTTACTAGCTTTCGTCTTCTCTTTTCACTGGTCATTAGTCCTTTGTTTTCTCGTGCATTCTCCCTTGAGGGTCGTGAAGGGGGGTACCAAATCCCAGTTCCCAGCCTAAATTTGGCCCAAATCCCAGTTCCCAGGCTAATTTTTGCCAAAATCCCAGTTAACAAAAGTTTAGAGTTTTCGGTGTGTATAACGGCGTTATTTGCATTGACGTACTTGATTTCTAGTACCATTTTACAATAAGCTTAGTGTTGTATTATTGAAGTTTCTTATAGTCACCGGCGATACTAGCAACAAATTGATGATGTTTGTTAACAGATGATCAAAGGATAATTTATGACTGGTGGAATAGTGGCACAAAGTCTACACAAAGTCTAATATTAAAGGACTTCATTTTTTGAAATAGCCCCAAAAACTTTGCTCGATTTTTAACTCAATTTAGCAAAACTTTCAAAATTTATTTTACCATGATAGAGCATGGTACAATGATACCTCTTCAAGCTTCAAAACGACCTCTTTATGACCTGCTTCTTCACAATACTCACGTGCAACTCTGCAATGTTAACAGTAACCAAAAGTAGTATTTTATGCGGTGAAAGAATCATCAACATAAATAAATGTAACATTTCTTATCTTACAGGAACAGTGCGTCTACCATAATTGGGCCACCTAGACAAAATTGACCAATCAGATAACAAGAAAACAATAACACATTCTGAGGCAGTTAGTTTTTGATTGTCAATCAAAATTACCATGAAAAGAAATTAACAACATGGATCAAAATCAACCAGTATTACAATCTACAGATGTGACCCAGAAACTGGTAGAAGCTTTACCAAAGTTAAAACTTAAAGGTTTTACTGAATCTAAAATTATTTTTACCTACCCAATAAAGCTAGAAAGTTCATCAGTAGCTCCTAGTGCTTCAAATAACACATCAGTTTTTAATCGCCGTTCTCCACCATATGTACTTGTATATCCTATTCCATAAAATAATAAATGTTTTATTGAAAGAGGCCTAAACACTTGATTCTAAGAAGTCTGAAACTCAAAAGGTGATTAAGTAAGAGCAAACAATATACACTAGGATATCAGAAGAAGCACTTGTGTATTACCTTTATCACCAGTCCTGGTGTAAATCTTTGGACCTACAGTGCTGTTAAAAGTAACAGCAAAGTAAATTCATTTG